AGGATGGAGGGAAGGAGGGAGGGAGGAAGGATGGATGGATGGAAGGAGGGAGGGAGGAAGGATGGATGGATGGAAGGAGGGAGGGAGGGAAGGAGGGAGGGAGGGAGGAAGGAGGGAGGGAGGGAGGGAGGGAGGGAGGAAATCACAGAAGATCTTCTAGCTAGAAGGAATATGTTTCCAAATTGGAACCACTTTTCTTGTTTCATTAATAGTAACCACTTGGAAATCCCATTTTATCTACTGCTTGGAGAGCACTTACAATATGATTCAATGAAAAAAAAAAAGCATTGGGGTGCCTGGGTGGCTCAGTCGTTAAGCGTCTGCCTTCCGCTCGGGTCATGGTCCCAGGGTCCTGGGATCGAGCCCCGCATCGGGTTCCCTGCTCAGCAGGAAGCCTGCTTCTCCCTCTCCCACTCCCCTGCTTGTGTTCCTGCTCTCTCTGTGTCTCTCTCTGTCAAATAAATAAATAAAATTTAAAAAAAAAGAAACATTTCTATATTCTGGAGGATGATGTGAGGCTCACCCTGTCCACATTTCAGCCACATCAGTTAAAATCACCCTCGTGTAAAATTGTAGGGATATTACACATGAAGAGGAATTTTGTTTAGAGAACATCAGGAGATACGCAGCAGGGCACCCCGGGGACACACTCAGGCCCCCTTGCCAAAGCAGAGTGGACAACAAAAACCTCCCAACCAGGGCCCCAGAAATGCTACCCCAAGGTATCAAACTGCCTAATTTTGCTGATTTGTTTTGGAACCTTACCTTGCACTCAAATCCAAAGCTGCTGTCTTGTCCCATTTTGTACAAGTGGCCAAAATACACTCTCTACTGCCTAGCCCCAGATCTCAGCGAGCTTCATCATGAGCACCCTGCTTGTACCTTAGTAACCGTCTTCCATCAGAGCCCTGGAAGCGTGGATGTGATGAGATTGCCCTAAACTCACCAAGGGAAACAGCAAAGGAATGCTGACTGCACCTGGAAGCACTCCAAGGCGCCTTACTGGTCACTCAGAAAACCTGTCAGCAAATACTTACTGCCTACTGTGTGCAGACACTGGTGCAGGACATATTGAAATGTAAGACATGATCTTACCCTCAGGTAGGTGACAGTATCTTTGGGAAGATAAAAGCACAAGACAAGACAAGGTGAGGGCCGGTACTACAAGAGTTTAGAGGAGGAAGTTTGCTTTAAACTGGGGAGCAATAGCTAAACTCCCTGATTTTTTTTTTAGGCTTTTTTTTTTTCCTATTTGAGAGAGAGAGTGAGAGAGCAAGAGAGAACAGAAGCACACAGAGCAAGGGGAAGGAGAAGGGCAGGGGGAAAGGCTGTGGAGGGGGAAGGGCAGGGGGGAGTGGGGGAGGGGAGAAGCAGACTCCTCACTGAGCAGGGAGTCTGATGCGGGGGGGTGGGGGGGTGGGGGGTGTCGATCCCAGGACCCCAGGATCATGACCTGAGCCGAGGGCAGACACTTAACTGACTGAGCCACCCAGGCGTCCTAAAGTCCCCGACTTCTGAAGGGCGCAGTCACTGCTTACACATCTTTCCTCCGTCCGCTCCAAGTCTCTCTTCTCCTCCCTTTCCCTCCCCCATGATACCCCAAGAGTAGAGAGACAAGAGTCACACCAGAAGATCCAGCTGTTCTTCCTGACACATAGGTTTAGAATCTTCTATAGCATCTGAATGATCCAATCTAGCTTAGCAGGCTAGAGTGAAGGATCTCCAAAGAATGAACTACCATATCATAACAAATGAAATAAAAGACAGTCGCATTCTGTAAACTGCTAAGCCCTTACAGAAATGTAAGCTTTTGTATTGTTGCTATGATCCTTATTCAGAGTTTAACTTCATCCAAACAATACTGAAGAGAGTCTTTTTGTGTCTTTTTGGACAATTAGTATGTATTCACAATTGTTAATTCTTTTTATTAAAACAAAGGTGGACACTTTTTTTTTTTTAAGTAATCTCTATGCCCAACTCGGGCTCAAACTCATGACCCTGAGATCAAGAGTCACATGTTCTACTGACTGAGCCAGCCAGGCACCCCCAAATGTGGACACCTTTAATGGAATTATTTAAATAAGGCTTCTAGAGGACCCTCCTTCATAACCGTAAAGGGCACTGAATGAGACTGGGAACTTGGCTCTGTCTGGTATTGACATGGGTAAAACTATTCAGTTTCCCAAAAGGTGTGACAAAAACACCACTTACCCAAGGTCTTCCTAATCAGATAGAGCTGATCCACATCTGATTTTCCTGGCCACAGAGGCACCCCTGACAGCAGCTCAGCAAAGACACAGCCAACTGCCCAAACATCTACTGGGGGGCCATACTGCGTGTCCCCCACCAAGAGTTCTGGGGAGCGGTACCACCTGGTGGCCACATATTCTGTGTAGTAGTCACTTGGTCCAGCTGGTCAGCGATGGCACATGGAAAACAGAGACAACAATGGAAGACTGGAATCCAAACTGGCAGGGGGAAAACCTAAAAAATCAAGCTGGTGCCCCATCTTGTGGCTTTTCTAAATCAATGGTTCTCAATACTGGTTGCACATTCAGATCAGTCGGAATATAGTATTTGTTAAATTACAAATGATTGGGCCCCATCTCAGTCCAATGAGACCAGAAATTCTGGGGGAGAGCCTGGGGAGGTATCCGTATAGTTCTATAGTTACAACTTACAGTTCCCCAGATGATTCTAATCTTCAGCCAGAGTTGAAAACCACTCTCCTAAAACAGAATTTCTCTGAAGTACTATTTTATCCAAAAAAAAAAGAAAGATAGAGACCACGAGACTAACGTAGTTTTTAATAACCACTTTACTGTGGTATAATCTACATATAGCATACATTTTTAAAACACTATATGTATCTACATGTTTTCAGCAATTAAAGAATTGTAATTTAGGGCAAGCTCAAGCCCAAAATATATAAAAACAAGCTTTCTATAGCATTTAGAGCCTTTCTCATATAAAGAATCTTTCTGTCTTTTACAATTACTTAAGGAAACATCAATACTCACTCAAAAGCCGAGCAAATCCAAAGTCACAGAGCTTAATCACTGAATGTTTTGTGATGAGGATATTTTCTGGCTTCACATCTCTATGTATGCACTAGTCATAACAATAAAAACAAAAACAGATTATCAAGGAGCAACTATAATATATGAGATAAATATAACTCATGAATATTTAGCAAACATTTGAGAAATCATTAAAACCTCTGACCAGCCTTTTAGATAAAAGGCTGCAAAATAGCAGCCTAAAATAAATCTAGTACCATACTCATTATGGCCTGAATCATCCCAAATTCCTAAAGGGCCCAAAAGGACCAAAAAGGAAGAAAGGAAAAACGAAAGGTAGGGTAGCCAGATAAACAACAAATAAGTTTTTAGTATAAGTATACACCCCATGAAGTCTTTGGGACATACTTATACCAAAAAGTTATGACTGTTTATTCGAAATTCAAACTTAACTGGGTGCCCTACACATAATCTGGCAACCCTAGAGGAAAGGGAAAATGTTAAAAGGCTCTGGGTGAGGCCTGCATCATGCCTGCTGGAGCTGCAAGTTGATGCATAAGCAAAATTCACAGTTCAGTCGTTTAACTGAGAACAGAACACAGTCCGCCTGGTAAACAGGACAAGCCCTGGGTCTGCTGAGATAAGCAAGGAAAGAGAAGGGCGGGAACGGGAGCTTGCCAAGAGACCTCCCTTCCAGCTCCTGACATTCGTCCTGACAAGATAAACAAGGGTAGGCAGCGCTTAACCTCTGGGGAGAGTCGCTAGATGTCAGCTCCGTCCCACACACCAGAGTTCTTAGAGCTCCATCCACCCCTGCGGGACGTGGCCCCCTCGCCCTAATTCAGACTCAAATCACCTGTGGTTTCCAAACCACAGCTGACATTGTTTAACAGGCTAATGTTAGAAGAGAGCTTTTGAATCTTCACATGATTTTCTTATTAAATAACAATTCTCTTGGCAAAGCACAAATCAACAACCTAATTAAAGATTACATAAAAACAACGTTTGAGTCAAAATCCCGTTCCGGGTTCCTAATAATCCTCGCTTCTTCCAAGCCTTTTCCTCTCGGGAGAAGAATGTTGGATCCCGCTGCAATCTGAGAGACCCTCTTTGGCTTGCAGCTGAAACCCTGGGGTATTCTTGACTTTCTAGAATTTGGAGAGAGGACAGAGGTTCTTCTTGGGCCTGGCCTGGTTCTCCCTCCAAAGGACGTTCAGGGTGAGAGATCAGTGTCAGTGTTTCCCCATGGGTTTTTATTATTCTGGAAAATTTGGGGGAAGGACAATTTCTGAATTATTCTATTACTATCTATCTGGTTCTCAGCAATTAATGGCCCCGAGATCACCATTCCTCTACCACTGGCTTCACATATTTCTCTAAATGGGTACACCCATGAATATCATGATGACAGATGGTCAGAAGGACTCGTAGGCAAGAATGTGTTCCTATTCTGTTCTGAGAACTCTTCACAAGTTCCTACACCCTCCCCACATCAGTACGTGGGGCCGACCAGAGCTTTGGGAACTCTCCAGGAAACAGTGGTATGCGTTGTATCTGTCTTCAGTGTCTCTGATTTTCCTCGCCGGGACCTTTATGAGGTCCCTCTTGCTCCCCCCATCCTAAAACCTGCTTCCAGGAAAGTGCGAACCCTCACTTGCTATAAATAGCAAGATAAGGTGTCCACGCTCCCTGGGATCCATGCATTTTGACGAGGATCGTAGCCTTAGGCTAGGTGGAGGCTCACTCAGGAGAAGGACTGGCAACTCGCTTATTTTCTACTTCTAGGAAGGCAGCTTCAGGAAGACATCACCCAGAACAGCCCACGGCAGGGGCTTCAGCCCCCACCAGCTAAACTGACCCAGGCAGTAGATGAGATGACATAGTGCGGGCAACTTGCCCCGGTGGCCAAACTGAAGGTCCAATATTGGCATCCGGCCTGTGTGTGTGGGGAGTGGGCATTGTTGTTCTGGAGGGAGGAGCCACCTTCCTGGCACCTTCCCACCCACCTCCTGGGCAGCCCCCCCCGTGCCCCCCACCCTTGGCTCTGGCCAGGAGTATCAGAGGTGTCCACGGGCTGCTCTGCTCCAGCCTTGGCACTCATATCTCACAGACACAAACACCAGCATTTGTGCATGGCGCTTGGGACTCCGCCTACTGCGACTCAACAGGCATGAGCCCCCTGGGGTCCCCCCCCCGACTTCAGAGCGTTGTCAGGGTGCCAAACCAAAGCAGACTCCAAGCGAATGGGATTCTCCTTTAAATCTGAGTTGCGTCTCATCAATATACATCTATAACTACTTTCTTAAAATCACAAAAAAACACATCTTTTATGTAACCTGAAGAAGAAAGAATGGCTAGGTTGGCGTTTTTAGCCTCTATGGCCCCCCACCAGGCTTCGGAAGACGCGTGAAAAAGCATATCCACAAAAGTAGGATATAAATTTTGTACAAAGGCTCTACCTCAGTTTAATGGGCAGCCTTCTGATTTTTCAAGGATGATCATGAGACTTACATCGTGTTTATGGCAAAAATTTACAGCTTGCAATGTCTGCCAAGTTATGCTCTTCACAAGATGTTCTGGTACCCTAATAAAAATAAAGAAGCAACAAAAACACATTCTTTAGTGTAGCCATGGAATTCAGCTCAAAAGAAGAAAAAACAAGAAAGTAAGACAGGCTTAACTAGTGACACATCCAGTCCTCTAACTCACAGAGCATCTAAGTCATGGAGTGTAAAGAGCAGGGGCTCAGCACACGGCTGGGTTCTCGGGACCGCAAGGAAGGGCCAGAGCAACATCTCCTTCTACAGGAAGGGACCATGAAGAGTCACAGGGGTTTCCGCAAGTATTTATGACCACCTACCTCAATCATCTGTGATGCCACTGGAAACCTGCCTGCTAACTTGAGCTCCATTTCTACAAAGAGCTTTTCGTTGATGGGAAGTTAGTTCACATACAGCATAAAAGGTGTTGCTCTTTTTTTTTTTTTCCTTCAAGTTGCCCCAAACTGATGCGTTGAGACAGAATTCATCTTTTATGCGTGGGCACATGGTTTCTCCACACTCCCCAGGCAGCATTTTTTTTTAGGTAATGGAGATTTTACTGCCGATGGGGAGGAGGTTGACCTTGCATACCGCAGAACAAAAGTGAACAATGGCTAAAACCCCACATAGGCATCTTGGTTCTCTCCCCACATGGCTTCTCTCTGGTGGCTAGCTGCACCCGCTCCCCATCCTTCTGCCTTGTCCTCTACCACAGAGTCTAAACATGGTCCCACTGCTCCCAGCACTTCTCCCCCTGACGCTCGGCTTAGACAACCAGGGCAACCAATAGCCCCAGCAGATCCTTCACGCGAATCAGAAAAAGGTGCCTCTTCTGGGAGCATTTAAAAAATATATTGGGCAATGAGTGAAATGACTAGAGAGAGAGCACGTTTATTTTTAGGGCCCTGCACCCACCAGCAGGACTTACTGTTTTTATGAATCAAACATTAAACAATGGTGTTATGGTCCTCAGCCAGAACTAATAAGTAAACCAGGGAGCAAACTCTCGAGTAGTTGTGTTAAGGTGACCAAAACAAGTCACTTCTAGTCTCTGGGAGGGGCCCCAAGACCACTGTTGTCACAGACCAGATGTTCAGGAAATCCTCTCAAGAAGATCAGAGGATGGGCCAACGTGGAGGAAATGAAGAGGTCACTGCCAGGAAGAAGAGCTGGGACGTTTCTGGACCAGAACCATGTCCCTTGGCTTGAAGTCGCTTCTCTCCAAATTCTCTCCTTGTCCTAGCACCACAGAGGTACAATGCTAGGAAAACTCACCTGTTTAGAAAGAAGGCCTAGAAAAACACAACTAAGAAGAGGACCTTCTATGGAAAATGCTTCCCTCCCCACCGCCTCCACTTTTTGTCCAGAAAAAAATGGGACGTATTCTGATTATTTAATGACTTAAATATTAAGGTTATCAGTACCAGGCCACTTTAGTCCCTAAAAACATTTCCCAAAAGAAATCATGCAAAAGGAGCATGTAAAAGTAAATTGGGTTTTTTTTAAGATTTTATTTATTTATTTGAGAGAGAGAGAATGAGAGACAGAGAGCACGAGAGGGAAGAGGGTCAGAGGGAGAAGCAGACTCCCCGCCGAGTAGGGAGCCTGACATGGGACTCGATCCTGGGACCCCAGGATCATGACCCAAGCCGAAGGCAGTCGCCCAACCAACTGAGCCACCCAGGTGCCCTGTAAAAGTAAATTGTAACAGCATATTAGTAATGCTCGTCTAAAGCTGAGCACATTATGACACAATCCTCAAACATCAAAACCCCCTCGTGTCATCCTGAGTTAGTTACTCACTTCACTTCTTTATTACTCTGTTCCTTCTCTGAAATGCCAGGGCCTCAGGCTCTATCTCTAAGGTCCTTTTTAGTGGATGATGATAGGAGCCAAGTTTTTCATTGTCGGAGAAGGGAGTACAAATATGGGAAGGGAGAAAAATGGAATCTGTTCAGGGGTGTTGGGTTGGAATTGGATATACACATATGTACAGAGGGTGCTGGGCTGGAAGGGGTGCGTTCTTAGGTAGGATGCTCCAGGAAGCTTCTCTGCTTAAGTCAACATCTAAAGTATGGTTATAGCAGTGAGAAGTGGCCAGGTTTGGGCTATATTTTAAAAGGACAGTCTTCAGGACTTTCTGAGATTGGATATGAGAGACAGAGAGGAATCAAGGAATCATGCCAAGGTTTTAGCTTAAGAAGCTGGTCCATGGTGGGGCCCTTTCCTGAGAAGAATGCTGAGGGAAGAGCTGGTTTTGAGGAGGGAAGGGTGGATATATTGAGCTGCTTATTGGACATCCAAAGGATATTCTGGGTAGGCAGTTCTGAATTCACAAGGAAGGTCAGACTGGAAATAGAAATTTGGGAAGCATGAGCATATGGATGGCATTTGGAGCCAAGGGACTGGGTGAAGCCACTTAAGGAGTGAATACAGAAAGAGAAGAGAAGGTCAACGTCCTGAGGCCCTACAACAGGTAGAAGTCAGAAAGCAGAGAGGGATTTAGCAAGAGACTGGGGTTGAGCAGGGAGGAAAGCAGGGCAACACTCAGGAAAATGGTGTCACCGGAGCCAACTGAAGAAAGTGTTTCAAAGGACTTCTGGATTAAGATAAGATGGTGGGTTAAACAAACCCATCTAATTGCACTCCCTCTCTAAACCTGATAACTACACTGAGATTTTTTTTTTTTTCCAAGACAAAAATGGCCAGAGAAAACAGGAGAAGAGATAATAGCGACACATTTTGGAATCTGGAAAACAGGTAGATGAATGAAAACTGCCAACAGATCCTGGAATGCTAAAATCTAAGCCCGAAGAGGGGAAAATGGAAGACCAACCAATTTATCCCAAAGAATTCTGCAAAGGTGCAGGAACTGGCAGCCAAGATTCTGTGGCAGTGGGAGGGAAGGAGTTGGAAAATCTGTTTTGGAAACTATCAAATCCCTAGATCTCTTCCCCTATTCTATTCCAACAGGGAGCACTCTTCCCCCTACCTAGTAGAGGGCTGGAGTTTTGTTTTTGGAGAGCGTAAAATAGAGGACATTTGGTACAGCCGAGATCGTGGATACTGTTCCAAAAACAGAGGATTAAATGATTATGTACATACTAACTGCTGAAGGCTGGGGCTCCCCCGCCTTCTTCCCTCACTGGCTTCTGACAAAGCAGGCAGCCAGACTTTACTGTCCGAGGAAAATATTGGAAGACTTTTTGGGGGAAAGCTCAGGAGGAAAGATCTGAAAATTCTAACATTGGGGTTCCGCAGCAAATGAACCAGCCAGATAACCCCACAGTGAAGCCCAGGGCTTCCAACAGCACCCTACTCTGAACCATGGGCACACAACCAGAGACTATATGAGGCCCAAGAAAAGCCTCAAATGAGAAAGACAGCAACGAAAACAAACAGAAAAAAGCAACTTAAAAGAGAAACCATAGAGAGTGAAGAGAACATTAAAAAAAAGAAAAACATTAATATCTTCAGGGAGAAAAGGAAAGCTGTTGCATCCACGAAATAAGAACAAGATACTCTAAAAAAGCAAGAGGACCCGGGGCGGAGGACCCACCCTGCCCTAGGCTTGCGGGGGGGTGGGGGGCTTTATGATAATCACTTGTGACCAACAAAGAATAACCAGCCCCTAGAAAGGAAGTAAGCCATTGAAGGTGTTATCAATAGAGATGTTGAAAGGATTCAAGTTCCCTGGTTAGCTTTCTATAAAAGACCAACCCTAAAGGCCCTCGTTGGCAACCTTGTCTCAACCCTGTCGGGACCCCTCTCACTCTCGAGAGCTTTTTCTGTATCTTCACTTAATAAATTCCTGTTGCTTTACTCACAAACAAACAAAACAAAACAAAACAAAAACAAGAGGACCAGTCAGAGTCCAGAATCCAAATCATCGAAGGCGCAGAACAAGAAAATAGAGAAACCAAAGGACAGGGAATCAGGAACACAACAATTCAAAATTCCTTCTCGGACAGAAGGAGCTCACCAAGTGCCAACACAGGGAGGTAAAGTAAGGCCCAAGATTTTCATTATTCAGAATTCTGTGAACAAAGAGAGGGTTCCCCAAGCTTCTGGAAATAAAGAAACAGGACTTCACAAAGGAGCAGAAAATAGATTGGCAACAGACTTCCTGGAAGATAGAAGGCACTTAAAAAAATGCCTTCAAAATTTTGAAGGGATATTATTTTCTACCAAAAACAAACATACAAACCCCTACCCAAACAAAATATCCATCAAATGTGAAGAGACTATAAAAGACTTTTTAGGGCAAGGTCTCAAATCTCTGTTTCTTTTTTGAAACCTCTCATATTCTGACGAAGCCCCTGAAGGAGGCACCCCCCCAAAAAGAGGTAACTAGAAAAGAAGATGACTTGAAACAGTGAACACTGGACGCCTGCCACCCAAGCGGGAAGCGCTGGGAATCTCCAGGAGGACGGGGGACGGGAAGGGAGATGCCATGTGGTAATGGCGTTCCAGGCGCTGAAAACAACCCACCCACACTGGAACAGCGAGCGTGACACAAGAGCAGGCATGTTGACAGTTGTCATCACCATGCCCTCTGCCTTACACCGTCTCAAATAAATATGAAAGTATTTAACCAACAAAAGCTTTGGAAGAGTCTGCATGCATGTTCAAATTCTGAGTACCAGCTTATGCTTTCCTTGTAGACAACTGCCTAAACAAAGTCAAGTTACAATCAGAATGCTGCTTGGTCAGTCAAGGATCTCGAGATGAGGGAAAGTAGGCAATCTGACTGGTTGTTGTCACTAGCCTGAGCTTCCTTACTTACACCCATCCCCAAATTAGGAGGGATTTGACATTAGATAAAACATATACAATCAGTCCAATCTGACAAGCCCGGCAGCCATTTTATTTCTTTGAGGTGGCTTTGCCTGATGTAAGGTTACCTCTGCCCTGATGGTTCCACAAAATAACTCTCCGAAAGCAATCTTCTGTCTCTCCTTTCGAAGATTTTGGGGGAAGCTTATACTGTGACCCTAATGTCCTAATTATAAAATTTTTTTTAAAGATTTTATTTATTTATTTG